ACATGCTTAAAAAGCAAGCAGAAAAACCAAACAAACGTCCCTTGACCAGATTCCTCAGAGACAGAGTTCTCTTGAATTAATTAGAGCAGGAGAGACCAATAAGATGTACATTCAGATATCAGTACCATGTCACTATATACATGCTTAAAAAGCAAGCAAAAAAACCAAACAAACCAGACTCCTCAGAGACAGAGTTCTCTTGAATCCAGAAATCTGCTTTTATGTTACTCAGGGAATCACTGTCCAAAGTATGCAAGAGCAAGTGTATCTCTTTTTCATGCTTTTACAGGGTGCTTTTATGTTACTCAGGGAATCACTGTCCAAAGTATGCAAGAGCAAGTGTATCTTTTTCATGCTTTTGCAGGATGTAACAGGAGAGGGGACTTTAATTAGCTGTAGGACAGTCATCAGTAGCTGCTGTGGGAAATGTGACTTAAGTGATGCCGGGCCATCATTCACTGTGGGTCACCATTCCTCAATATTCAGCTTTCCATTTCTAGTTTTTGATTTCCTAGACTGCATTCCCACATAATTCATTATTTCAGAAGCACTCACACAGGCACTTCTGCATCTCATTGGGTTAGTAGAGTGTTGTAAATTTCTTGTCAGATCTGATAGGAATGTCCTAGAAATATCTGATACTATTTTATGGTGGTGTACACAGTCTCTGAATATTTTTTGGGCCAGACTATTTGAACTCTGACTTTGTGGCTCTTGAAAAGAGTCTTAAGCAGACTAGGATATCCATCATAGTGAGTCTTCCCAACAGTATTTTTGGAGAAAATTCTTTTGAAGTTAGTATTTATTTCCTAGATAAAATCTGAAATTCTTCAGGAATGGATGAGTCCTAAGCTTGGGACTCATTTCATGAGTGGCTTGTAACCAGAAGGTTGTGCAGGGTGCAAGCAACTAAACTGAAGAGAAACGACATCTCATGAAAATTATTGTGGAATTTACTACTGATATTTCATGGTCTCAGGTTAATAGTTCAAGTTCAAGAACTTTCGAGAAGAGAAGTTAAGACATTACTTTTGGCAGGACAGTGTCACAATTAGCCGACATCAAAAGGGAGATGACAATACTCTTAGTTTCAAAGAAGAATGAATTTTATTTTTATTTCATGTTTTTCACTCAGTTTGAGAAGAGTCTGTGTTATCTGAGATTCTCAGGATAATTTTAGTCCTTTAAAATTAGTTATATCTATGTAAGTAGTGGAAAAGTTCTGGCCAAATTTGAACTGGATTTGCTAACTGTTGAAAGAAACATGGGAAGAAAAGATGTTGACAGGTGAGCTCTGGTGGATTGAGCTGAACCAGTTTTTTTTACTGCTACCAATGCTAGCTGTCAGTCTTGCTGTTCTGCAGGTGATTTTCCTCATTGCACATGTGGCACAAAGCTAGTTAAGCTAAAAATGGACTGTGAACATGGTTTTCAGATTATGTGCAGGTTAGCTGCCTCTATCCTAGACGAGAAGGCAAGCTCTTCATTTTAGAGTTTCAGCAGGTTTTATTTATTTTTATAGGTTTTATTTGAGCCCCCTGTCCTTCTCAAAAGAGCTGTCCTGTTAGGCTCTTACTGAATTACATTTTGCTGTCAGAGAAATGGAAACCTTTTTTCAGTCAGTCTAGGTGGCATAACTAGGATTCTCTTTGCTCTCAATGCAGCATGCAGAATCATGATTTCATGCAGGTTATTTTAGTTGATTCCTGCTGGGAGGTAGGATCACGCTGAATTTTGCCAGCTGTAGTTTTCAGGTGCTCCATTGTGTCACTTTGTGTAACATTCATAACTAGAATGGTGCAGCAATTTGTCCTAAATCCATGCCATTAAAATTTGTGACATGTATCAAGTAACACATAGAATCGCAGAATATTCTGAGTTGGGACTCACAAGGATCATAGAATCCCACTCTTAAGAGAGCAGCCATACAGGGGTCAAACTCACAACCTGGGCATTACTATCATCATGCTCTAATCAACCAAGCTCATCTCAGTGGTTGTGAGGTATTTTGCTTTGCTGCAAGCATATGCCTTGCTTTTCTTATTTCTACATAACTTCCTCAGGTAATGTTACACTGCTTAAGTGCTGTGATCTTAAGTTTGCTTATTTTAAGGTAGGGCTGAGTTTCATATGATATGTCTCACTTGTCACTAAAACAACAATCCTTTGACTTACTGCTGCAGTAAAATCCATTCATACCCTTGGGATATTGTCAGATGGGTTTTAGTCTGAAACTTGGATAAAATCAGTCTGTAATTTTAGAGATTTCTTAGTATTGTTGAAGCCTTTCTGAATGCTGAAGTCTGTTGGCTATCTTCAGGAGCTGTTGAAGCACTTCTGCTATTTTGATTCTCTGAGAAAACTGAAGCATGAAGTTTCCAACCAGAGAAAGAGAAGGGTATTCATTATAGTAGCATCAACATTCCATTGATAATGAAAATTTGGGAAGTGTTATGTAGTAGCTCCCTAGAGTAGTGGGAAGCCAGATGTATGATGAGGTGAGAAAAGCAAGATTAAGAAATAAACTCTGAGAGCAGTTCTAATATTTAGAAAACTACTTAAGCTGATCTGATCTGCCACTATTGGGGTCCAGTACAGTGATGCTCTCCAGGGCATCCCATCATGTCTGAGTACATTACTATACAAGACACTCTGTCAAATGCTAATTTGCAAAACTTCTTTCAAATGTCATGCTTATAGATCCCTATATTCTCCTTTATTTTTTATGTTCTAATGATGCATCGTAAAAGGTGAGGAACCAAAACTGTTATTGAACAGAATACAGGGCTGCTCCTGTTCTAGCTCTCCTGGTGGTTTCTGCCCATTATGTTGTGCCAACTCTGCTGTAATGGGGAAAACCCTGTGTTTATGACTTTAGGGACTGCACTTTAGTTTTCATTACGTTAAACTCAGTGGATTATTTTGCCAGGTGGATTCACACATCTGTCTGTGCATGCCATCTCAAAGGAGATGGAAGGAGTGCAGAAAACAGTGGAATAGGGATGACATTAAATTAGTGTTAACTTGAATTGGTTTATGCAGTTGAGAAGTGGTTTATTTCCTTAATTCAGGGAAATATTGATGAATAGTAGGGGCTTCGGAAACCACGTCTTGAACTTCTTCTCTCAGCTTTAAGGCTTGACAGTGTCTTGCAGTCCACTGCCAAGATGGCCATGGAAAAACAAAACTAGTAATTTTTGGTGGTGTTGATTTCTCTTCAGTTTTAATGGCATTATTTTAGTTATTAATGTTGGGGTTTCTGTTGCCTTTCCTCGGGGTGTAGAACAAGTTGCAAGCCTTAACTAATTCTCTGGTTGTATATATTTTGTTGTGTCTTTTGGTCTTGTGTTTTATTTGGTTTAGTCCTTACTTCCTCATCTTCAAACATTATCTTGTGCATTGTTTCTGACTTGTTTTAAAAGGGTTTTTTTTAAGAAACTTTCAAAACTTGGGCTGAGAGAGTAGCATAGAGCCATAGCATGACAGGGAATGTTGGAAGAATTCTTTGTTGCTTTTTATCCATTAGGTACACTTGTGTTTCAGTGCAAATGTAAACACAACTTTAATGTTTAAAATTTGTCATCTCTGTTTTGCATTTCAGATTTTTTTAGTTTTAATAGTTCAAGGATCATTCTTAAAATGCAGATTTGTCACAATTGGAATCCTGTGAGGATAGATCTGTTAGAAATGGTAGAGATTTGATTTATAGGTAAGGCAGTCAGAATAATTATAGTATAAAAGTCAGCATGATACATTACATCATGTCCAATTCACAGCATTATTTAGAACCCTTCACCTAAAATGAGTAGCTAATGCAGTGTTTCAGCAGGTCTATATATTTGTCTAAAATGGTCTGGGTTAACACTGTCTTCATATATCATACTATAACCATACTGTATTAGTGCAAGCTATACCCTAATTGTGCTGAATGCTATACATCACATTGATGATGGATTCTGCCTTTTGAGATCCATCAGTTCTAGGTAATACACAAATAGAAAATACTTGTGAAGGCCAGTGGCCATGTTTGGACTCAGAAGGGTGCCAGCAGATCTGCTCTCACGTTTGGTGGGTCAGATCAGTGCATGGCATGTGACTAACTTGGAAGTTATGTCACTTGTGAATTTCTTTTAGTACGGGTGAGCAGAACACACAGTAGCTGCCATGTAGGGCTTAGGTTGGCTAATGTGAAGTCTAGAAAGTGAGTATATGAAGTAATTTTGCCTAAAGGATAAAGGAGACAAAGACAATCCAGAGACCATGCCATAAAATTCTGTTCTTTCCCACATCAATCTCATGAATCACCCTGCACTTTGCTCTCCGAATGAAATGCAAGAAAAAGTGTTCCGTGATCTGGGTGTATGGCAAGAATAGTACAGGGAGAGGTCGAGGACTGCAGGCACAATGATGAGTGAAAACAAACAAGGCAGCTGCTCTGACCAGCACTCTGTCAGAGGGAAAGATGGAGTCACACTCTCAGCTTGCTAAGGCCTGCAGTGAGATCTTGTAAATAGTATGGAATTGATTTAAATCATGAAATAATATGGAAAAGAGTGTAAATTTGATATGCATCCTCTTAACAACCATGATTTTTCTCGTGATTTGCATTTTAGTATTTAGAAAGCTAAGCAAGCTGACTTAAAAAGTGCTGTGCTATATTTTCTATTTCTGCATGTCTGGCTTTCCTGAGTTGCATCATAACTGTATTTAAATTTGCTTGGTGTTTTTTGCTGATGAAAATACATAGCATAAGTAGCCCAGTTCTTTGTGGATATGAACGCCTTAAGGACTGGGGTTTTTGTAACTTTTACATTTTCCCTTTTCTATTTGTTTTTCTTTTGTCTGTTGTATTTGCTTTGATGTGATGGCATTCTTTTCAGCTTGGCATTTAGACAAAGGTTTCTGATGTATTCTTGCCATTGTGTGTCATAGCTAGCTTTTAACATTTCACATCAAATTTAGCCTGACTTTTTTGTTGATTTTGTTCTGGTTTTCTACAGTGGACAGGCCAAAATCCCAGCAAATCAGAACTTCTGGTACCATAAGGCGAACTTCTTCTTTGGACACAATAACAGGACCTTACCTCACAGGACAGTGGCCACGTGATCCCCATGTACACTACCCTTCATGTATGAAAGATAAATCTACTCAGGTAAAAGCAGTAAAACAAGACAACAGAGATGTTTCATATAATTGATGTCTGCTCAATTCTGAAGAAATGTGGATTCACTTAATTTTATGAGAAATATGAAATCCTAAAATAAGTTACAGTAGTCTTTTTTTAACCTTTGCTAATGCAGTAACATGGTATGCGACGATAATATTTTTATGCTTTTAGAAAACAGTTGTTAAAAATCATTTTCTCAGTGTGGGCAGATCTGTTGAGCTAAATAAGCAGATATCAATCTTAGCCTTGTATCTGGTTTATTTTGAAGCTGCTATATGCAAAATTGTGCTGAGTATTATTTAAGAAAAGGCGTCCACATATCAATGGCTGACAAACTAAAAGATTTTACTAAATCATGGTAATAAATCTGTCAGTCTCAAAAACTGTGTGTTTGTCTGTGTGTGTGGGGCTGAGGGAAGGCCACTGAGGTTATTCATGCCTGATAGTCTTGTGATAGTCTTGGATTCTCTTCAGGGCTCTGTCCTTAGTAGGACCCTCTGGCAGGTAGGTTGCTGGGGCATTCTACTGCTCCAGTGCTCTTTGCCTAGAAAGGTGAATGTTCTTTCTTGCCTGCTTCCTCCTTGTGCTGGAGCTTGTTGCCTGCAAAGATGATCACTGTCAAACAGATTAAAAAGACATAATTCTAACCACCCCTCCCCAATTATTATCAAAGGAGCTGCATTCTTTTTTCCAGCAGTGCTTTTGAGGTTTGGAATAAGCTATCTGAGGTCCTCGTCCAAACTAAATTGGAAACTAGAAGAAACCAGCTCTCTTTAGTTACAGTTTCAGTCTAACAGGCCATGTAGATTTGGTTGTTAAATCAGTTGTTTATCTCTTGTGCCATGATTCTGATCCATAGTTATCACGGGTCTTGAAATAGGTTCTATGATTCTGATCTTTTGTGTAATACTGAGTTTCTCAGGACAAGTTAGAATGTATATAGAAGTTTCTTCATCTCTAAAATATGGTGTTATGCAGCACAGGAAGCCCTTTGATGGGGTAAAGATAAGCACAGAAAGCTTAGAAAAGAAAAAAGTGTGTCTGTATGTTCAGAAATATTACTTAATGAATTTGAGAAACTGATGATTAAAATGTTCCAAGAAAATTTTTAGAAACTGGAATGAGGACCCTTTGTAAAAGGCTGTCTTCATGTCCTGCTTATTTTGAAATGAGACAGTCAATTTTAGCCAAAAAACAGCAGTCATATTTACTGTCAAAAAGATCTACTTAAAAAGCCCTTAATCCTGGATTTATTTTCAAGATGCCTTACTTTCACAATACTATGACTTTAAAGTCTTTCTGTTTTGAAAGCTTTGTAGTTACTGTATTTCTCAACCCCTTTCTTAAAATGCATATGCGTATCAATCTTTACAAATACTCATATGAATAGAAAATTTAGAATATTTAAACATTCACAAACAAACATTTTCACTAGTTACAGAAAAGATAAACAAACTGTTCTATAAATATTTCAGCTCCAAGTATTTGGCAGTAAAATTGCTTTCCTAGCGAGCTCAAGTAAGTGTTCAGGTTATGTGAACATTTGGCTGCCTCCCTTTGCCTCATTCAGAAACTAAAAATGAAATTTTACCTTTTCAGCATAAGTATAAAAGAGAGGAAAAGCATACTGTTGTCATTACAAAATGAAGTATTATTTCAAAGGGGAAGGAGCAGGGAGATCTCAAGGTTTGTATTTGTGGATATCTTCCAGCATGGGATTATGTTACCTGTCTTTTTATTCAAATTGTGCCAGACTCAAGCATTTATCAGTGCTTAAGTTGAGTCACTACTTGGGACTATGAATATGTAAAATGGAACAAGCATATTGATATGCACAGTGATTTCCAGTTGGAGGGCTTTTTTTGTTTGGTGGGGGGTCTTTTTGTTTGGTTGGATTTTTTTGGTTTTGGGGGGTTTTTCGCTTTTGTTCCTCCCCACCCCCCAAGATAAAATGCTTACTAGGGAGGCTTGAAGATGATCATAAAACATTGTCTTATGTTTTGGTGTGTGTCTGGGTTTTTGTTGTTTGAGCTCTGTGTAGTTTGAAGTATATCTAATTTCAAGAACTGAGGATGAGTTCCAAGTCGTTGATAGGGTGCATGCATAGCAAATTAAGTTAAATAAAAAGAAGTTAATGAAAATCAAGAAACCATTTTTCTGTATGAGCATATTTCATTGGAGAATAAATTATCTCTTGTTTAACTTCTAAATTCAAGAACAATGCTGTCAGTATAACTTACATTGTAGGTGGAATAATTATTTCTCTTTCAAAGGTGTATTTTGTTCCTAATTAAATATTAACCTAAAATCCAAATTTTGTGTAGCTTTGTTAAGGTGGCGATTATGGCTGTTCCAAGTTTCTTAGAATTCTTGTTTTTAAAAAAAATGTTTCTGGTCTTCATGGTGATCAGATGAACCTTTAATGAGCTTTATTCCAAGTCCTTGTTTCCACTTAAAGTCTTTCAACTTGTACGATACTCATTAATAAAATGTTTCTTCATAATAATATAAGGGAGGGAACAAAATTTTGCTTGGTCTAGTTTGTCGTATCTTATAGAATAGGAACTACAGTTCATATTTCTGTGTCCGTCTCACCCCAAGTGTTTTGACTGAAAATACAGAAGAGAAATGAAGGTTGTTTGCTTTTGGAGAAATGCACTGTAACACTGCATTGTGGTATTTGTACAATTCAGTATTTTTCAGAATTCTGTATGTACGTTTGTGTGTGTATATGTGCATATGCATGCAACTAGCTGATCTTTAAGGAGAAGCACATTTTGAACAACCAGAGTTATGCAATTTTATTTAGTAGTGTTTTAAGTATTTCAGAAATGCAGGTAAACTTCCTACCATAAGAAGTTACTTGTGTTGATGCACTTTGTGATCCCCTTCCCGAGTTCCTCCATTGTACTTTCTTCTCCCTTTGTAAAATCTGAACTTTTCATTAAGGCCATTTAAAACTCAGTATAATTTCATTCTCCATTTTTTCTGTCTCTTCTGGGAGCACTGATGGAACAATTTTGAACACCACTTCTTTATGCTTTATCATTTAAGTATTTCCCCCTTTACAGTGTAAAGAACAACTTAATATTGAAATGGCTGTGTCTAACCTTGGAGTCTTCAGAAACATTTGGATAATTGTCAGAGTGGATAAATATAATTATTTGGCAGTAGCTAAGTAATTTAAACGACACTTATAAAATTAAAGAAGAGAGATTAAAAAGAAACGTGATGTTGATGTCATGACAAAAGTATTGTCGGTTAAAGTTTGTCATGGAGTCTTTCTCAATCTAAATAATACAAAGAAATGAACAAATGGCCTAGTGGCATTTTATTATCCAGTGATTTCCAGTTGATGACTTAGGCATATCCAGCAGTATTGGAATCCAGTTTTTCTCATTGTGTATGGCAATTAGGTATGGAACAAATGAAACTGAAGAAAGTTTCCAAAATGCCTTTCAGAATTTTTATTTCTCTTTAACTTAGAGAATAGTGCAGAGTTTCTAGGCTTAAATGTGGTCAAGGTAGGTCAAGGCTTTAGTATAGCTGGCTGTCATTAGACACTTGTTTTTTTCTTATGGGTAGATTTTTTTTTTCTGTAATATTAACAGACGTGAACAAAGAGGCTCAGTTCCGTGAAACTTTTTTACTGGTATATTAGTTGTAATTGATTTTGTGGGATATTTTACATCGGAAAGGACAGGGAATAAGATACGTTGTAGAGCTGTGGATTTGTCATTCTAACTTAACCTGTCTGATGTTTAAGAGTCATCATCTATAGTCAAATTGACTTCTTAGGCAATTTTTCTTCGTAAAGTTTCTAGATGACCTTTGAATGCTTTAGAAATACCTGAAAACCCATCAGTTTTTATTTTCTGCCATTGGGTTTCTTTTGAATGTGAAAGTTCTTCAGAAACATGTTGCTTTCCCTGTAAAGCATAGACTTATGTAGATATTCCAGAATGTGGGTTGGATGTAGTAATTGGAGTGAAGGCATGGCAATAAATATGAGATACTTAAGGTTATACAGTCATATTTTAGGTTTAGGTAGGTTGGTATGTTATGCAGTCATTCTGATCTAAGTGGAAAGAATGTAGGTGTATGTCCCTGGCATGGGTGGAAAAGCAAGGCATGGTTACCAAATATGTTGGAAGAAGTGCTGATCTCCACAAAGCTGGGTGAGTTAGAACTGTGGTAATTGTGATTTACATGAAGACTGAAGAGAGCAAACAGACGTGGCATTCTGAGCATGTCTTATCCCATGTGTCAGCTGAAATGGACCACGAACCTTAATGTCTTAAAAACAAGGGATCCATGTCCTGTAGGTACAGTATGCATTATCTAGTGTTTTCAAGGATCTCCCCCTAAAATCTTAGTTTCTTAGTGTGGCCTTGCAAGACTATTCCTTCTTCATGAAGTTCACCACATCACTTCTGTGGTGCTCTGAAATGTTACCAGTTTCAGAGATAGTGCCTGACATCTCTTGCTACGAGAGGTACTTTTACTCTCCTTCTGACTTGAAGTACAGCAGCTGTGGTTTTGTTTGTGATTCAGAAATTTTTCTTCTAATACAATTCTGAATTACATTCTGGATTTAATATTTTTTTTCATATATTTAACACTTCAGAAGTACACTTGCAGCTTCAAATGAAGGCTTCTGTTGATGAGCCTGTTTTGTGGAAGTTGTAAATAAGATGAGAAAACAACTTCCATGAAATGTGACAGATTGTGGGTGCTACACACCCCCATCTTATTTGTGATCTAAATGACAGCATTTAAGTGAGATATGAGGTGTTCATGCATAAGCTAAACTTAGAAAATCAGAATTTCTGTTTGAATACAACAAGTCTGGGGTGCTTCTGTTTGTTTTTTTAAAGCTTTTGCTTGAATACAAAGATTTGTTGTTACAAACTCAAAATTATTCTTTATATAATGTGGATTCCAACATATTGCAAGCAGCAATTTCCAGGGTTTGAAGAAGACTATCTTGCAATAATATTCTAGTAACTCCTTATGTATTATTTTTGTAAAGCTTTTTCTTTTTTAAATTTGCCTCTAAATAGCACATAAATGTGACACTGTCTGACTTTAGTACTGTGCTAGGGACATCATACAATGTTTGTGATCTAATACTGCAGGTAGAACTGGGGATCAGAAATAGTGTGCCCCCTGTATACTGTGTATATCTGCAGGTTGTGTCGTGACTCAGTTTACCTGGGGCTGAAAGCATCCATGTAGTCCTTGTCTCAAGGGAGATGCTATTTGATTGGAAGAGAATGTCAAAGCATTCTTGAACAAGTACAAAATTTAGTATTACATGAATAGATATTTTCTGATTTTTATTTTTGATTTGTGAGTAGATCTTCTGCGCTATAAGGATTCCCACCTGTCTCTCCTAGCAGTCAGTGGTGTTGTTGATGAAGGTCTTCAGGGGTTGATCTTAGGTTGTGTTTTGTCCTTGCTATCTGGATCAATATCTGTGTTTATTAAAATACAGTTGGGCTCGTGTGTTCTACATATTTGGTTTTTAACCGTTTACTTCTCTATATTGAGAAAGTCAGTTTGGCTTTTTAGATTCTTGGTATCTTTTCAGTTTAGTAAGCTGTAGTTGAAAGGATAGGAGCTTACAGTGATCCCTGGTACATCCTTCTGCACTACAGGTAAGTATTTAAGCCCCCAAGCTGCCTAGTTCTACTTCATCCTGGTGTTCCCCAAATGGTGGAGCAGTGCTGTATTCAGAAAACACTTTTTAGAAGATAAATTTTCTTGGAATTCCATTTTATTGCTGGTGTTGTGTGAGGATATGGTTCCAGCTGTACTTGGGATATAGTAAAATATTGTAAGAGAAATTAAAATTGCAAATTGTAACAGATTGTGAAACCCTGTGATTTTAAAAAAAGTAAAAAAAATGTTCCCCATTTTCACTAGTTCAGTAGGAATCTGCAAGCTACTTCAATGTTTTTTATAAAAAAAAACCAACACTTAAACCCAACAGAATGTCTTCCACACAAATTTCAGGGAGATGAATCTGCAAAACCAAGTAATTATTTAGAAGGTGGCTCTGTTAAAATGCAGAGCAAGCAGATGCACACAGCACAGGTAGCACATGCATGTGGCAGAGGCTCTGCTTAGGGTCAGGAGAGTTAACTGCTGCCTGGCTGAGGGACTGCCTTGTCTTTCACATAGTTTTAAGTAGCTGTTTTAACATTTCACATTTGATTTTTTTTTTTCATAACCACATTATCTTCTGATTTCTTCCCCATGCCCAACAGTCATGTAGTCAGTACACAGAACTCTTAACTTTTCATATAGGGACTTATTTTTTTCTTTTTTGGGGACATGAAATAAAAACTTCAAGACTGACTTTTTCCATTTGGCTTTCTAGTCACCCACACAGCTTGCTGGGCCTTTGGTTGAAGTATTACTGGTGGTGTAAAAATAACAGAGAAAAAGCCCCACCAAAACTGTGGAAAGTGCAGGGGTGGCAGAAAATACAGGAGGGTTATGTAGGCCTGTGCACACAGAGACTGAGCAGATGCAATATTAGCACAGATGAGGTGGGTGCTGGGCTGTAGGCTGTGTAATCCCATGGCAGTGTGGTGGTTATGAAGGTGCAGCCCATGCTCTGAAGTTACAGTTCTGAGCTTGGTGCCGTGGCTGGCCTGGGGTGGCCTGGCCCTGGGGGCTGCTCCCAGCCGCCTTGCAGGGCACTGAGGAGCTCTAGGGGTTGTTTGATGGTGTTCTCCAGAGTGGTGCCCAGCCTCCTGCCTGGGCCAGACAGTCTCAGGGATCCATGTGGGTACTGCAAAAGCTTCTAGATCCTAGATGGGAAGCAAGAGTAAGGAAAGCTGTGGAGGAGCAGGGTTTCCATGCATGAGAACAAGTCCCACAGGCATGTGGATCCCAGATCCTATTTGTCTTGTGGGCTGGGGTTTTGTCTCCCTAGAAGAAGTGTCAGCAGTGGTCCCCTCCCTTAAAAACCCTATGGGCAAATTGTTATTTTCAGTGGTACAGTTTTATTTCTTGTGTGCTTACTGGGGAAGAGTCAGCTAATACTAGTAGGAGTTGTTGGGGAAAAAAATCCCAACATAAGCAGATTTATATTTATGTGCTTAAGAGCACTGAGATTATATAGTTCATATGTCAAACTCTTCCTGAATTTTACATGTTTTCATTGTTCCTGTGACTCTCTTGTTCAGGAATTCTGGTGGATAACCTCAATTTTCATGATAGCCTTGTGGCAAGTAAGCATAGTGGTTGAGAGTTTGGGCTTTCTGATGCTTCTCAGTCTTTGGGGTTTAATTTTAACTCCTACATCTAAGGACAGTCACTAGACTTACAGGCTTTGAGATATGGTTGGAAAAGGCCTGCTTGTCACTGTGCTGCTCATGTAAGTTGGTGCCAAAAATAATAAATGGTGTATAAAACTCCTATCAAGTTAGAGTTAGGAGAAGGGATTGGTTTTGTGGTCCAGTGGTTGAGGAAGACAGGCTTGAGTTTGTTCTACAGTTTTTTTTAATGGTGTGGTTTTTTAAACTGTCTGCTAAGTGAAATGTAGACATGGATGCCAAAGCACAGTGGGAGCATCCAGGTGACGTTTTTTGTCAGGCCTTTGATTCCTTCTTCAGTAATGTGCACTCTTCCCATCCTTTGTAAATGAGAAACTTTTTTTTTCTGTGTTGCTTTTTATTTATTGAGATTATTAGTGCTGCGTATTAGATTCTAAAATTTATTCACATAACTCTGACACTGCCTAAAGAGTAAAGCAGTAATGTGTGCCAGAGGTTTTTCTCACCTGGAGAACTCAGTACAACATATTTTCTTCTTTTTTTTCCCTTGTAGACACCCAGCTGTTGGGCCGAAGAGGGAGCAGAAAAGAGATCACATCAGCGCTCGGCGTCGTGGGGAAGTGCTGATCAGCTGAAAGAGGTGAGAAGTTTTGCACAGTGGAGCCCTTCAAGTTTTGATAAGCCAAAGACATTTTTTAAACCCTATCTGGAGTCCAGGAAGCTGCACCCTTTCCCTCTCCTCTTTTGCTTTTGAAACAGGTTTACCCCCGGTCTGAGAGTTGTTTGAAGAGTGATTGTTATTTTTTGCTTGTTGGACTTCCTCCCTGCATACTGTGAAGTATTGGTTGTGAAAGAGTGGCCAAAGTGAGGAGCCAGCTTCTTGTTGCTTTCTGTTCAGTGTTATGTTAGTTTTCTGACCTTTAACACTGCTCTCTTGGAAGAGGCAAAGTGTCAGGTGGTATGTTCACATATCCTTGGTCAGAAATGTTGTTCAGATTTTAGGCTGGAGATGGAGAGGACACCACTTCCAGAAAAAAGTATTGATACAGTAATGGTATAAGTACTTGAAATGCTCTTTAATCATAAATATTTTGCTGTAGACTATAATTGCAACTAGAAAGAACCTACAGAAAGTGGATTTGCATAATGAGCAAGTCGATACAGTAAAATGGTCTCCAGCTCAGCTGAAATGACAGTATCTCAGTTTTTGTCCCAGTAACCTCCATTTTGTCCAGAGTTTGAGTAACTAAATCTGTCCAGAACTTAATAAGGGGCTACATTCAGCCTCATGCCCCTGTCAGGAAGAATGTATGCTCTCTTCAAGAACTGCACTTTTCTTTTAGAAAAATGAGTCTTGCAGCATGTTCCCATGAGGCGAAATTTTTCCCTCATACTCTGGGCTTCTTGCATTCTCTTTCCTGACTCCCTGTTGAATAGGGCATTCAAAAATGAGAAGGAATGTATAGGTTATCTAAGGAGAAGAAGTTAAAAGGCAGTATACATTCTTCTTCTGGACAGCCATTGATAGAATAATTGTCAGAAGGAGTGATGCAAGTTTAATTACTCAAATTTTAAAATCACATTTGACAAATAAGGAATAATCTTGCAATCCATTGGTGGTAATAACCTCTTTTTCGAAAGTGAGGTCCTGGGCCAAAGACAGGTTGATCAAAAGAGGGTTTTCTGTTCCCATTTCACCGAATACATCTCATGAAACCTTGATGTATTGACACATGGGCCTTCAATTGCCTGAATGACTTCATCTGCAGCTGTGAGGAAGCATTTGGAATCACAGATAAAGTGACCAGAAATAAGTGCGGAAGGAGTTTTGTGTCTGAAAAGTTTTGGCTTAAACCTTACCTACCAGCACAAAGAAATTGTAATATGGACAGGAGTAGCATCTGTTTCTCTAGGATAATGTTTCCTTGCTTTTACTGAGAGACTATCCTTCATACTCTGGCAGTTTCCTATCAAGTTGTGCAACAAGCAGCTCTTCTTCACCACAGGCCTGTGGCTGTCAGTGATAGTAAACCCTTCAGCATGTAAGCAAGTCTCTGCCATTTGATAACTGTGAGCCATTGTGCTGGGTTGCCACCCTCTTGCTGTACTGACCACAAGAGAAAGAGAAAGATAAGAAGTGTGTGGCCAGTGTGTTTCACAGTTCCTTTTTTTTTTTTTTTTTTTTTCTAGAATGCCTTAATAGACAAAATAGGTTCTGTGGAAGAGAGTTGTTTCTATCCAAACTTTGTAATGGCTGTTCACCCCAAAACCTACCCTTGTCTTCTTCAGCATACAGTTCTTCCCCTTCCTCTGTTTTCCTTTCTCCAGCTACTCAGGCCAGTTTTCTTACCTTTTCTAGTTCCTTGGGTTCATAACCCATGTCATACTTCCTGCATCATCCAGCCACTATTCAGCTACCCTATTTGAGCTCTTACTCTGTTAACTTCCACCTCCTTGTTAGTTCTGGCTATCCATTGTTTGGCTTCTTCTTTTTCCTTTCCCTCAGTGTCAGTCTGTGTGGTGGATGTTAAGTGTTTGTTCAATACCAGCAGTATCTGTACACTCAGTTTCTTTATGCCACATTAATCTGTAGTTCCTGGAAGGAGAAATTCCCTGGGGTGGTTCTATTCAGACTGTAAAGCCCACAAGAGACAGAATTGTTAACAAGTGCAGCTGCCACTTCCAGATATCTTTCTTGAACATGTCCAAACTGAATTTTTTGCCAAAGCTTCACCTAATGTAAAGATTCTTCCAAAGGACTAGAGGAGCACATTCACAGCATAAAGGAGTCTCAGGCAAATGTTTGGCTTTTTCATCCAAAACAGTGGAAAACAGAACCATGCAGGTAAAAAGCTTAAAGTAATGTGCCTTGGCACATAAAATGGTAAAATCTCTTCCACCCTCTTTTTCATTTTAAATCACATTCTTAAACAGCCCTAACACTTTTACTGAAGTCTCTGATGGGAAGGAGATATAGAGCAGAATGTTGCATGGTAGACATTTGAGAAAGCTATGGGCAACTGAAAGCAAGAGCATAAGTAATGGAAATAAAAATATCACCTTCTCCTGGGTAACTGCATTTCTTATGTGTAGTGTAGGTAACATTGTTCTGCTCAGAATTTTGAATTGTTTTCTGCAGTATTTGACAGTAAGCAAGTAGATAGCTGATGGCAGTTTCTATGTCTTGTTTTAGCAATTTGTATTCATGTTTTCTTGCTTCAGAAAGTAATGCAATGATTTCTAGCATTTTTTAAAATATGTTGGTAGTGTAAACTAGCTAAACACTTGTATGATAGTTACTGGTTTTGATAAAATAAGACTGTTTAAGTTAAAAAAATAGTTTTTTCCTTGGTTAATTTGAGTACTATTAAAATTAAATAAATTTATTTAATGCAACTGGTAGCTCTTTTTAAATGAGCTACATCATAAAAACAAAAAGCAAGTGTATAGGTTTGACATCCCAAGCAAGCAAATTAATTCAGAATTACCACTTACAAATACGATTTCAGTTTGGCTAGTGAAACTTACTTTGCCCTTAATTGAAAAACTGTGTGTCAGGATTAAGTCTGTCTAGCACTAAAATAGATATATATTTGCTTTCTTGTTGTGAGTCTATTAGAAATTTAGAAGTCCTTACCTCTCAATATAAGCTTTCCTTTAATAATTTCATAATGAAATCTACTTGTAAAGAATTGGTTTATTCTGAAGGGCTCTACTTCTTGATTTTAAGTCTTAAGCTTAACTTGTCTAAGATGATGACACGCTACTTTAACATTACATGTCTTGACTGGGACATAAAGATTGCTGTCAGTCTTTATACTGGACACTCGTATTTTTTTCCCTTTTCAACCTGAATAACTAATTTGAAATTCTCTTGATGTTTTTCAGGGACAGTTTTAGTTACAGCTTACCCTGAACTGGAATTTACCCAGAACTGGGAAAAACCCTTTATTTAAAACTAGTAGTTTTCGCTTTGTATAGGTTTTTAAGGACATATTTCAGACAGCTGATTTTTCACTTCCCTTAAGCAGCTCTCTGTGTTGTATCTGTTACACAGACAGCAGCAGCCCCCCATTGGAAGGTCCCTTTTGCTTTAACAGAGTACTTGAAAAGGACTTAGGAATAAAAGAGAATTGAATATGAGAGCTTGCATGCCTAATGTGCTTTCATATAGCAATTGAAAGATTGTATTCAAAGGTTTAGGGGGAATTTCTAATGCTTGTTTTGCTCTTTGACCTACTGGTTAACTAGTTTATTAACAAACATTTAATGAATGAGATGGAGCTCACTCATTAACAAGGAGTTTGTGGCTGGATCAGCTTTGGGAAGTTACCATGTTGTGTAGCTGAGCTGTAGAAATACAGCCTATTGACTGGTAAATATTAGTGAGCAATTGAGAGATATGGTGGGATGTGTCAGGTTCCTTCATATTAGTCTGCATCTAGGTCCCTTCAAAAGGGAAAAATTACCATAATTAAAATTAAATAATCTAAATATTATCCCAGTGCTGTAAAGAACTGACCTAATTTGGTTGTTTCTCAATTTTGTGCCATTAGTTATATTAGACTGTATGCTAGACTGTATGCATGTCACAAGTGGCATAGACAAAATTCATGTTCGTTATACAGCTCCAAGCTATAGAAATACTTAGCAAGCAAGAAAGATATCAGGGGGTTTTCCTGATTTGTTTGTTCAATAATCCTGGATGGTCATCTTACCTTTGGCTGACATTAAACCATGAAGACCAAACTGAAACTTTGTGCCCTGAATGACTTTGTGTAGGTTTCTGATACACTGCTCTTTGTTTTCTCAGTGTTTTTTGTTGGTGGGAATTTTTATAAATTACTTTAAAATAGGTGAAGAAAAGAATCTTTCCACTGCATCAGCAGTGTTGCAGAGAACAGTCATTTGGAAGAGGAAAGTCTAAAATTTTCTTAATTTTTGTTGAAACGTGCGCAGATATGTGCTGTGTTTTTCCCCTCCATGCAGTCACATGAGAGTACTTGCCAAATGTGAATGAAAATATTTTTTTTAAATTTACTACCATATATGTTTACACATTGAAATGTGGCAAGACAGTTTTAGATAACAAATGGCATTTGAACATTGCAAGTAGTGTTCAAATTGAGTTTACTCCTTGATGAATTCCTGATTTTTTTTTTAAAGATATGTTTTACTTTCAGCTATATCCTCTAAGAAAATAGCTGTATTTTCTAATGATAGTGTTATGCCCTCTTCAAGTTAGGTAGGCAGAGAGAGATTTGAGTTGGTGTACAAAAATAATTCACATTACGGATCTAAGTGCACATATGTGCAAGGCCAAGGCTTAAATATCTCGAACAAGTGGGTGCTTTAGGATACAGATTAGATCTTTTCATGATGATTTGCACATGTTCCTTCATATGACTGTGTATATCCCACTCACACTCATGCTCAGTACTTGGGCATGTGGGGGAAGTGGTGTCCCAAACCCTTTCTGTTCTCAGCTGCTTGGTGAAAATGGAGTGTTTTCTTACTGCCCTTTGGTTTGCCCAGTGTAGCACATGGTTCCTTTCCTGCCACTTCCTTGTCGCTATTTTCTTCACACAGATCTGGTCTAATACTGGATCTTCAAATGCCAGTTTTCCTGATACCACTCACTTGGCACCATTTTCTTTACACAGCAGACTCCCTAGCTCATATTTGCTGCATCAGTTGAGTGCCCAGGAGATGAGATCTGCTGCTTCTCTGAGATAACTGGTAAAACAGGTGCCATCAAGGCATATGTTTCAGACTCTTTTCTTACTTCATGAATTATATTTGTTTTGCAAGAATATGCTGTAGATAATTTTGCTTATGTTTGGTGCTCTGATGGTGCTTCTCTGCTGCCTGAGAAGAAGGTGTAGATAAACTTGGAGGAAGCTAGCACAGCTGTCTATTTCTGTTAGTAGCAGTGGCTTTATTTCAGCTTGAAATAGAAAATAATTGGTAATTAGAAGATAATCTTGTAGAAGAAGAAAAGCTATTGCAATTTCAGGATTAGCAAGTGGTAGAATCACTGTGGGCCCCCCTTGGTGAAGAGATGGAGCATCGTTCAGTTCAGCAGATTTGGTGTACTCGTTGACGCTGCCAGCTTGTGGTTGTCTGTGCCAGCAAGCCTCTGTCTCCCAGGTCTGCAGGATAAACAGGAAATGGCAGATTCCTTTTTATATGCCCATTGTTACTTTCTTGTTTTCTTGTCCAACAGTAACTACCTTATCATGGACAGCTAGGGTCCTGCAAGTTCAGGGCTAAGGACATATGATCTAAGAAGGCACATCTGTTTCTACACTGCATTGCTTGTTTGGCTTAAGAGATTGTATCAGCTCCAGATACAGAGTCAAATCAACAATTTCCTATCTTCTGTTTCTCCTCAGTGACCCCAGCACTCTTTTCTTTGTTAGTGTCAAGAACCTACTGACTGCCAAAATACACATACTCTTGAGGTGGCTGAGAGAGCCTTAAATTCCAGGGATCCATTGATTCCTTTCACAACATCAGAGCTTCAAGGTTTCTGGCTAGCCTAGAGACATACCAGCCTATCAACACTCTCCCATTTAGAGTTTTCACTATCCAAATTTTACAGTGAGAGGCTATGTTGTCAAAGATTTGCAAGCTTATTTGTAACAGAAATCAGTCATATCTCTGAGGTGGTATTGTGTAGATATTTTCTTTTCACAGTGTGCTCTGGAAGAAAGCTCAGAAACTGTATTTCATTTAGATTAAACAAAGTAGTGTATGTAACTTTTTGACTTAGGAGGAAGTGCACAGAATCAAGGAGAGGCAGTGGAAATGATAGATTTATATACAGCACTCTCCTTGCTTTCTGATTATTCTTGTAGCCAGCCATCTCTGTCCACAGCTGTCTTCTGAGTTGGGCATCATTTTTCTCCTCTCCTGTTTTTAAAGGGGAAGATGAAGATTATTTCTCAGTTCTCCCCATTCTTCAACATTCTGATGTAAGACACAAATATTTGTAATGTGTGTATATTTACCAGAGTAGTTACTTGCATGTTTTATTCATCTATGGAGTTAGATTTCCTAACTGCTGTTACTCCTACAAGGAGAACGGGAAATTTCTGGACGAATGGATTTCTTTTTTTTTTGGAGATGAAATACCTCTTCAGACTTCAAGTTTCTTGCAACCTGGTGCTCGAGTTGCACCTTTGATCAAGAGTTTAGTGTCTCCGTTCTCTAAATGTAGCTCCTCTGTGTAACTAATGTGGTTGTATTAGGGCTCTGTTTTTCTGGATATATTCAACACACAGACCCTTTTGGAACTCTTGAACTGTTTGTCTGTTGTTTAGAGATCAAAGTATTCAGCCATTTCTGAGTAGCAGTTCTCTAAATATGGGTAATGAGCTGTGGCAAAACTTGATATGAAGCCTTAAAGATAGATTGCTCTTCTATGAGTGCTACCAGAGACAGCACAAAGAAGAGTTCACAGCCTGCAGCAGAGCTCCATCCAAACCTCTTCACCAAGCACTGTCATCTCTGACACTGTGAAGAGTGATGTGAAGTGATTCTCTGACATGGAGTTGCTTTGCAAGAGTACCAGTGATATATTTAACTACATGGAAATAACCACAGAGTGCATGTACTTGTGAGTTGTCACTCAGAGAGGTTAGTTTCCAGCTGATGTATGAATTCCATGTGCATTTATTCTCCTCACTTGCCCTTCAGGTTTTTAAAAATTGTATCTCTAGCTGAGTTAAAAATGAAATGAGGCCATGCATGGCCTTATATTTCAGTGTGCTGAGCATGAGGAACAGTGGGATTTGAGCCTAAGGGAACAAATTATCCAGTTTTAAGGAAGTGTCTGTACCTGTTGTGTGAATTTGCACACAGTCTAAACTTCTGAGACAATGTTTATAGAGGTAAGTACTCTCTTTCATGTAGAAGTTTCCCAGGAGGAATAAAAAAGTAGAGGAATCCCTATTTGGTTTCTTGTTAAGGAACAGGTCAAATGGATAATGGCTTTAGTTGCATTTGACATTTAAAATGTAACTTTTGATTAGACATCTTTGCAGCAGACAGCAGGAAAGATAATTCCATCTGCCTGAAGGAAGCTGTTGTAATATTGCCTGCAGGGAAGTGCTCTTAAATGTATTAGTAAGTTCTCTGTGATTAACAGTGCATTCCGAGTGACAGTTGTTTGTGAAGGTTAATTTATGATGAATTGTCACGAAAAACTTTCGTTTTGGTTTAAGATCAAACAAATTAAATGGTAGGCTTCAATGTTCCCAGTTTAAACCAGTTACAGATTAGAAGATGCTACAAATTGTAATTCTGACTACTTATATTTGCATCAGATATTACAGTGCTTGTGTGTAAATGAGGAAATACAAAAAATAAGCTGAGCCTGTTGTCATATTTGGGCTGGTGAATAGGGCAGATACTTTGGAGTAAGTATCTGATAAGCAGAAAGAAGCTTTAATGCTCATACTTCAAGGAAAGGCAATCCTATATGCCTGTAAAATCCTCCAAAGAGGATTAAAATGTCCGTGATTCACTTCATATGTGAAGATTTGAGCAGTTACCCATTCGATAACTCATTCTCACGTCGCCTGAACTTCTCTCCAGCAGATTGCCAAACTGAGGCAGCAGCTGCAGCGCAGTAAGCAGAGCAGTCGTCACAGCAAAGAGAAGGAACGTCACTCACCTCTCCATGGCAACCATATAGCAATCAGTCAGACTCAGGTAAGTGGGCAGCTCCTTATATTAACAGCCTCCCACCTTATCAGGGTTGGCTGAATAGCCTGCTGAGCCTTCCCATCTGTCTTGTGTTTGTTCTCTTGTGTGGTACATCAAATGCCTAACAGTCTGATACTGCTGTGCCTTCACTGGAGTTTATCTGTTGGTCGTCATATAATAAAAGAAGGGTTGCACCAAGATAGCAACTGAAATATATTACAATGCTGTAAAAGTTACGGGCATGGCCAGATAAGGCTGTGCTTCCAGGGATGCATACTTGCCTCCAAGACTAATTTTTTTGTGGTAAACTTTCAGAGCTCCTCTGGAAAGTATTTACTTATCAGTTTTGCAACCTACCTAATTCCATTTTTTTGTGGTAAACTTTCAGAGCTCCTCTGAAAGTATTTACTTATCAGTTTTGCAGCCTAATTCCATCTGGGCTAGTTAAAAAAAAAAAAAAAAAGGAAAAAGAAAGTACCAAAGCAAGGTGCAGTGGAGGATACCCCAAAGAAGTCATGATCTAGTCACTACAACCTGTCAGCAAAATTGAAACCCCATTGAAGTTCTAAAGCTCCGGTGAGGTTCAGCCAATATCTTCATAAATCTTAAGGCACTTGTAGAAAGCATTTAACCATGGCTTATTTGAGAGTGCAGATATTTGAGTCTTGATTAAATTTTACCTATAGTAGATCCTTAACTTGGACTCCCTGTTACTAACAGGCCACTCTTTGAACATTTGAAATTTTGGCTTTATAATGGTATTACCCGAGTACCTTTATAACTACCTGGTGTTCTATAGCAGCTAGTTACAGTAGCTGGTTGAGCTGTGAGGGCTTATTCCTTACATACCTTCTGTATGGATAAAATCTTGTGGTCAAATCCTAATGCATGAAGACTCTTGGAATTTGATGCTCTTCCTGAGCCTGTTAGCCTTTATAACAAAGGAGCCTGCTACATTTGGCATAGAAATGGATTTTACTTTACATCTCAAAGTAAGCTGTTGCAAGTACCTGTGCCATTATAGTCACATAGCAGGCAGTCTTTGACATGGATTGAAACCCACCTAGGACATATGCTGTGAAGAAACTTTGTTTAGTGCTTGGAGCTCACTTTGTCATTGCTCATGTGACATTTTGGTTTCTCAGGAAGATGCTCTCTGATAAAGCCATTCTGCAGGCTCTGTGTTCTGGCAGTCAGAGAATGCTTGCAGGCAAATGACTTGCACCTTGGGAGCTGCATGTTGTGCAAGATTCACTTGATAAGAACTCAAAAAATGTTTACATTTTGTCTTAAACATCCTGTGATTCTGTGAGGAGGAGAACATGTTGATTGACATATGAGACTGTTCATGGCTGTCAGTGTAGCCAAGGTGAAGGTTTTAAGATTGACTGTGCAAGACATGTGTGCACTCTTGGGAATGTTTCCTGTTGGTAACAAAGTTCCACTCAAGAGGGTTTTCTGAAAATCATATTTGTACTTCCTTAGATGCTTGTTTCTTAAACTCAAGATGATTTCTCTTAAGGCCTTTGACATAAAGCTCTGAAAAGGTGTAAGCTAATGAAATTAAAGGTTCAGAATGAATGTTTTATTTTGCATTCACTAAAACCAACCAAAAGAGAGTAAAAGTATATTAAGTGAATATTTTGGTTGAGTCATTAAGCTTCAGGAATGTTATGAAATGCCTCTTGGATCCCAGTCAGCATCAGGGCCCCATGCACTCCCCATACCCCTGCAGTGTAAACCTTTGTGCTTTCCAGACGCACAGACTTACACCTGTCTACTTACTACCAAGTGAAGTCATAGAGTGCTTTGATTATATAGTTTTTCTTTGAGTTAAGCAGAGATGATTTTATTGGCTTTTGATTTCTGCATTTGTTTTTATTTAAATTCACCAAGTAAAGATGATCTTCTAGATGGTAAAATTAATACACACCTTCCTTAGTAATGCTTTTAGTTTTGGTCTCAGACTTCTGCCTTTATTTGGTTTTCCATCTTTAAATTATGTTGCTGTCTACCTTCTAGGCTTGTATTTCCAGATCTGTCCCTATGCCACTGTCAAGCATTTCAGTGCCAAAATCAACTGCTTCACGTGTGCCGTGTAATGTAGAAGGAATAAGCCCTGAACTGGAAAAAGTATTCATTAAGGAGAACAGTGGAAAAGAAGAGGTATCCAAGGTAAGCGTATAGTAACATGTTGGTGGTTGTTATCTCTTTGTGATGTATACACACAGGGAAAACCTTCTTCTTGAAGAACCTTTGTTGTGGCTGAAATTACAAATAATTTTCTTCAAAGAACTGTTTGTTTGAAAACTTTGTTTCAGTGTTTTAGCATGGTGGGTTTTTGTGTTTTCTTTTTTATTTTTAAAGGGTTTCTGGCCAAACCTACTTTGTTTAGAATGCCCTTTCTGTAGAGAACTTGCAAGTTTTTGTGAGAGATACAAGTGTTAGAACATTCAGACACTTTAGGCTGCAGTAATAAGTAATGAGAGATCAGGAGGTTGTTATATTTGCTTCATTTTGCACTCTTTTTCTTGAGCAAGATATAAGTTTCCAGTGCTATGCTCTCCTTTTTGATTTTAATGCTTTTTTTCCCATGAACTGAATATGGACCATTTTGCTGCCATGAAACCTCTATGATCTGTCATGCGAGATCTCTGTATGGGAAATACTGACAAATGGGGCAGCTTTGCTTTGGAGCATTGGACTTCTCATTGAGGAATTTGATGATACTGAAAATGTGGAATACTTCGTTTACATCCACTGTTTCCTAAACAGCCAGTGAAAATTTTCTGCTGTGGAATAAAGTACTCCATGTTGTTTTTTTCTAATCTTCTCCAAGTTGTAGATGCTTTTCTCATGAATGGTCATATAATAGCAATTCAGTATACAAGTCAAGCTATAAAAATTCTATCAGAGGTTTAAGATTCTGCAACCTTACATATTTGCAGTTCTTCATATCATTAGTAAACTTAAAATTTTTTGGAGTAGTCTTGGCTTCTCCAGACCCCTAGTTGTGTGGACAAAGCAGTCTTAAGAATGTAGTAGTAGTTCTATGCTAAGTTTTCTTTCCTAAGGCTGTCTTATCCTTTAGGAGAGGTGTGTTTTGTGCCACGGGGATAAGGAAAAAAAAATCAAACATGCAGCCTGAATGCCCAGCTCAACAAGCCTTGTTGCAGCATCTCCAAAAAGTACAAAAAAGTGTGTATTGTAGTGCCACCGTTGATGTTGCTATGGCTAGGGTTGTAATCTCCTGCAGTTGGAAGATATTTCATTTATCTATCAGACAAATCATCCTTGTAAATGCTGTCCTTGGGTTTTAACAGCTTACTGCTTGGGATGCAGAGCTCTCCTGTGTTACTGAATGTACTGACTGTGATCCAGTAAAACAGTTAAGCACATACTTAAGTGCATTGTTGGCTTTGGGCCAGAGGTGCTCGGAGTTTACGCAACCAAGGCCATAGTGAACCCTTCCTCCAAACATTCAGCTGGCAAGAGCTTCAGACACAAAGGAAAGTCATAAATCACACATTGCCCTTGAAGTCAAGTCCATCTTTGTGGGCAGAGGGTTGTTTCCTGCTATGTAACTGTTAATTTCTGTGAACTCTGGTCTTGTGGGACTGCTAGCACTGTCTATGAGATTACAAGATCTCAGTTTGCTTATGGAAGATCATAACAAGATCATAATTTACTCAAATCTTATGGCCAGTGAACTTTCTCCTAATACAACAATTTAGCCTGGGGGACTGGGGGCAGCTGGGTTAAAGGTTAGGAATCACTGGACAAAAGACAAACCATAGGAAGCCAAACTCTAGTGAACCTGTTTTTCTTTCAGTTTTTCTGACATTCTTTCTCACTGTAACATTTTGTATTTTTAGAAACTATTTTAAAAGCACAGTCAAAGATAGTTTGTTGCTTTGGAGTACATCTTCTGTCTTTACTCATGCTGATTTAGTTCTGTTACTTCTCTGAAACATTTTTTTAAACTTTGTTTTAATATCTTAATGATGGTTAAAATTGTAGTTACAAAAGCAAAAATAACCCAACCACTCTTGTGTTGTCCACTTATTTTAGTATTTCATGAAGATAGTTGAGGATTAGTAATGTCTTTGTGTCATTACCTTTTAAAAATCCAATCGACTATGAGGTTTAGAGAGGTTGCATAGTGGTCAAAATACTAACAAAATTTCATTATTTGCAGTTTAGCCATAACTGTTTTTTCACATTCATCTTGCTTTGCTGAAGGTGTTTCCTTTTTGCATTCATAAAATGAATTTGTCCTTTTTGAGCCACTTCTTTAATCACCTCATTCACCTCTAACTTGTTAATAAACTTTTAATTAATGTTCTAATGCATTTATTCAAAATTCTTGGATATATTTTCCTTCTTTTATAACTTGCTGATTAACTCGGACAAGGTGTGATGGGGTGTCTCTGTTCTCACCATAACTTGCAAGATGGAATCAGCTTTTTGTGAATTTGTTGCAGGCTTTTGTTCTTTGTCCCATTGTGATTCCAGAACACCATCATTGGAGACTGAGGTACAATAAGGTGATGGACTTTTTGTAGGGATTAGGGGATAAGAGGTGTTCCCTCCTCTGGAATACAATAGTGAAAATTATGAAAAGTGCCCTGTAGCAGAACACAGACATATTCATAGGCCTTCTGTTATGAAAAACATTCTACCAGAACTATCAAGTATACAGAAGTAATTAAAAATAAAAAAATTCTGATGGACTGTCACACACAATTTCTGTTGCTTCTGGAAGGAGATGGCAAGGTGGTTTTACATACCTATCTGGAAACTGAATCCCTTAATAAAATGACTTCTTTTATTTTGCACAGATGCAGAGGATCCTTACTTAACTCTTCATAGACTTTATCTGAAAACTGTTTTTTTCCTAAATGTTCCTTCCTAGGATACATTATGGTTTTTGTACTTGCACCTTGTCTAGTGCATTGATGGCTTCACTGATGCCAGCAAGAAGAAGCACTTTTCTATGCTGGCCTTTGTTCCAGTGTAGAGGAAAATTTTTAAATCAATAGCATTGAATGCTTTGAAGAAGTTGTCTCCCAAGTAGAGATAGCTTGTGAGGAGACTCCCACTGATAATGCTATTACAGACTGGTAGCATTCCTTATTCTTCTAAGTAGAGTGTTGTGGAGGTTTTTTCCAGCAAAAAAGATTGTTAACATTCACCAATTGGTTTTCAGTAACAATGTATTGAGAAATGCATACTTGTTGTCAAATGCAGCTTTTTCATACCTTTGCTGGGAGATGAGAGCAGTATGTAACTGTGTCCAAGAACACACATCCAATAGGGATGGACAAGTTTCCTGTCAGAATGCATTTGGCATAAGGTTAAAGCATGACTGGACATACTTGAAAAAAAAAACCCCTCATGAAATAGCACATAGAATGCAGTAATTTCTAGAATGCATTTGGCATAAGGTTAAAGCATGACTGGACATACTTGAAAAAAAAACCAACCCTCATGAAATAGCACATAGAATGCATAATTTCCAGTTGTTTTCTATGCATTGGGCATTATGGGAAGTAATAGCAGCTGTACCAAATTAGTTACCCCTTTTCTTATCATGTAAGGTTGTGAGAACTTCAGTTTTAAAATAGTTCAGGCATGACTCATAGCAAGTAACTTCAAAAGTAATTTTTTACATTGATCAGGTTTTATACATAAAACTAAATACTTCTAGTTGATATTTTCATGGAGATTTTTCCACTTGTCAGCAGTGAGGGAAAGATAAATACAAGAACACAGTAATTTGAGACATTAACTGGCATTTTTTATGCCTATAAATGTTATTGCAATTGCAAAGAATGATAAATATTTAGCTTTTTCGGTTTGTGTGTATATTTAGATATTTGTCTAAAAGTATGGATTATTTTTGTACCTCAGGCTTTAGTTCAGGGGAGATTGAAATATGTGATGTGGGATATACTTCCTGCCTGCCTGAGACTACATTGTTCCTCCAGGTGTGGAAGAACATCTGTGTTATGCTGAGGTCTTTAATTATGTGATCACATGCTGTTTTTTTCCCCTCCCTGGAATCCTCATTTTACCTGTTACATAGACTGTAGTGTATGCCCTTAATGAGCAGCTGTTTGGTGTTTTTTCCTTCTCCTCCTTAGATTTGTGTCCTCATGCTTAGTGTTACACCTCGCTTTGAAGTGAGAAATCTGAATTTTTGCCTGAGATTTTGCTTCTTTATAATAGGAGCATGTCCGAAATTTTGTTTACTTTACATCACAGTTATGTGAGAAGAAAGATGATGTTATTTACACTTCATGGATGGGGAAACAAATCCATCAGGGTTCTATTGTGTGGTTGTTCAGGTAACTCGGGATGTTGCATTCCATTTTAGGAGTTCATAACGCTGCTCCTGTAGTCTCTTTCTGCATCTGTTAATGCAGAGGACTTACAAATCAGACCCATTTAAACTGGGCATCCAGAAGAGATACTATGAAAGACAGAGGTTTGTTCAACTGATTCCCTGACACCACACAGAATTTTTGTGGCAGAGAGAAATAAAAACGTTGTTTTGTATGTCAGTTTTTGGGAGGATTTTGGTTTTTTGTTTTTTTTTGGTGGTGGGGGTCTCTATTTTTTTTTTTGTATGGTCTTTTTTTCTTTGTTGGTTTGGTTATGATATTTATAAGACTGCTTTCTTTCTACAGCTGCAATCTTGTTTTCTCTCTTCTGTCTGTGTAACAAATGCTACAGAGCTGCAGGTCTGTCTTGAGCATTGAATGAGTCAGGGCCTGTTGGGGTGATGGGACTGGAACACCAAGTCATGTTGTAACGCATATGCAATGTGAACTGAGCTGTTGGAACAGACCACACAGCTGTGCCCAAACCTTACAGCAACTGTAATCTTCTCTTTATAGTGTGTTTCTTTGCTCTTATTTGAAATATGAAATGGTATTAACTGGAAGAGTCATAAGAAGAAAATTACCTTCCTGCTCTGCTATGTCTGCCTCTGTATAATATGTGGTGGTTTTCTGGATAGACTGTTGCTGAAAAAGGGAGAATGTGATACTCAGCCAATAGGTGTCATGTCCTCGTTGCTAGCAAAAGTGTTGGGTTGAATTTTAGGCTCTGGAACAAGCTGTTACAGTTTTGGAATATATGTGGAAGAGAGGCAATAAAATGAAAATGTTCACTTGAAGTGAGAAGGAAAATGACATTAATATTTTGTAGCTAGAACATTTAAGCTGTTCTTTATGGTTTGGACGCAGTTCTCACTGAAGTGAGAATAAATTTTTTTTAAATCTTGCAGACATTTTTTTCCCCTTTGCTTCTAAGCAAGACTCTAATTCCCACTTGGCTACTTACTTTTAAAGCAGCACTGTCTTTACTAAAAAACTAATTTCCCATTGGGAAGGACAAATAAGTAGAGTGTGCCAGTCTACTGCTGTGAACATGTTGCAGAATGGATGCAGCTTCACTGGCCAGTGCCAGCTAGGCTGATATGAGCAGGTAGAGCTTACTAGCTTTGGCTCAAGACAAAGCTTGTGAGCCTTGCTACAAGCCTGTGTGTGTGCATCATCTGTAGAAGGATGGAATGTAGGGGTATGCTGGAGAATTGCAACTAACTAGCAGAACTTGGATGGTTTCCTTTTATAATTGTAATTCAGTTGGTTGTTATGGCAATAGTATGCCATTGTATGTGACATTTTCTACTTTCCCTTTTATCCAAATGTGATCTCTGTCGGGGTACTTGTTTTTGTATTATAATAGCAGTGACCTTTATTGAAAATTGTAGTACTACATATAATTAGTGAGGGAGGTTTGCTTTTTAACTGCAGTAAAAACCATAAAAACATAACACTGGCATGTGCTGAGTTGTGGATGTTAACTTTGCATAGGAACGTGTGCACATTGCTCCGGTACTCTGTGTAATTAATGGATGTTGTACCCATTGTACACTGCATTATTTTCTTGTGTGAGAGCTCCCTGTTCTTTCTAAATTGCCATGTTTGTTCTTCTTAAGGCCTTTGCTTAGGGGTACTAGAGGCTGCCATTGCTTGTGAGTTTGATCTTTTCTCTGTAATTGCCTCGCAGCCTTTGGATATCCCTGACGGTCGGAGGGCGCCGTTGCCTGCTCACTACCGCAGCAGCAGCACCCGGAGCATTGACACGCAGACCCCGTCTGTGCAGGAGCGCAGCAGCAGCTGCAGCAGTCACTCACCGTGTGTCTCTCCCTTTTGCCCTCCTGAGTCTCAGGATGGGAGTCCCTGTTCAACAGAAGATTTGCTCTATGACCGTGATAAAGGTGAGAGTAGAATGGCCTGCCTTTACCTATGGGAGGCATGTGATGTCATGCTTTTACAACTACCTTCATTTTGCTCATTACATCAGTTTTTGTTTTTGTTTGATGGTTGTGGAGGGATTGAGGATTTATCTGAAAATTGGTTTTGTTTGTTTACATATCTTTTTCCCTCTTGTTTGTGAAACTTCACAAACATCTTCCATAAATACGTCAGAGGAGCACAGCAAACAGTTACCTATTTATGAAGATTCTAATGTGAAGAATTCAGACTGTAACATGTTTACATATAAGAAAGCTTTCAGGAAGGTTTGTGGTAGGCTGTGTATTTATCGTAGGTGATTTGCTTGCTGTTGAAAATGGTGATGAAGTTTTGGACTGCTTTTAAAAGAACTCTACTTTTGAACTCTTACATTCTACTAGAAGCTGTTTGGTGAGGAACGCAGATACCTGTTGGAACAACCTGGTGGAGGGTAATTACTTCTCTGTGTATGCTGCATAACAGCTCAAAAATTCTGAATAATTTATGCGTTTCTCAATATCCTACGGTTTTTCCGAAGTCTGTAAAATGTTGTTTGGTTTTAAAGTGGGAATATAACTGGAGTTTGGTAATTGAGTTACTGACAGACTATGGACTATGAGGCTCTAGGCACCAGTGTAAAAAGGACTGTGGCTTTTTTGACAACTGTTTACTAATAAAATTACCCTTGTGCTTCTGGTCAGCTAGCTGAAACATGGACTCAGTATGGAGGATGTAGGATTTGGGTAAATCATGCAAGCTAAGAGGAGTAAGTTTCACAGAGGAAATGAAAACTTCTAAGATTTAGCATATATTTATTTACCAGTGAGCTAAAGATGGCAGAGTTTTGAGGTGTAAGGTTAAACCTTTTTTTGTAAATACTGTTTAGTTAAAGTAATTTGGGAATAGGATTGGGGAAGTCAGCATGAGAGACACTAGCTTTTCTTGATTTCTGAAAAGTATTTTTTTCCATATCTTGGATTTAAAAGGAAATAGTGGAAAACAAATCCATCTGCCCAAATCCTGAACTGGGGGTGGGTGTGTGCAAGTTAACCACATTAAAGTAAAAGTCTTAGCTCAACATGAGAGTTGGCTATGCTCCAAAAATAGCAGTGTTATTAGCTTGCCCCCACCATACTCCTCTTTCTTATACTATACATGTGAATATTAATATGTTGTCGAGACTGAATCATTGTAGAAACATCTGCTAAAGTATTAGCACACAAAAAACCATCCTGACAGGAAAATTGGTTCATATATGTCCTGATAACAAATATAAGTTAAAAAGCAAGGAAATGAATAATTTCTTCTACAGTCAGTGCTCCGTTATCACAGTAATGGGAATTTTCAGTGGTACGTTTATTGGCAGTAGCGAGTGAAGACAGTTTGAAATAGTGCATCTAGCCTTTTTAATGCTTTTCAAGGCTTTTTATCTCTTGCCTTGGATTTTTGAACAGCTGACTGGAGTGAAATTTATGAATAGATACTTATTTGTGGATTTTGGCTTTAAGACTGGCTTTAATGCTAGGCTTGCATCAAAAGTCTTCTCCAGGAGAAGTGTGTAGGTGATGATGATAAACAGCCAGTTTTTTAAGTCATCACAATGGCATTTTAAACTTGGTTTAAGTAAGATACATAATACTGTGCATACAAAAGATAAAACCTTGAACTTCTCATCACAGCTTAATTTTTTAAGAGCAAGGTAAAAGCTAGGAAAATACATAGCAGTTTTCCAAGAGAAAGTAATTTTTTCAGAGGTTGCCATAGTATAGTCAGGTGCTTTTTGCTCTCATATCATCCAAATATTACAGGCTGGTTGTTCTGAATTAGAATGTTGCTTCAAAATCATTAGATAGTAGAGATATGAGGGATGTGGTTGGAAATTACAACAGAATAGCAAGTTTGAGGGACAGTTTATTACATTTGTTGTGGCTGTTAATTGCCCTATACAATAAAAACTTGGGAAGGTTCTCACACCTTCATTTTAAAAGCTTTTGTGAGCTAGAATAAAACCATCAGTTTTTTTGTGAGGCCTGTTAAGTTTGGAAATACACATTGTATAACCAAATGTAGATTTTGACGACATTTTCTTGTTACTTTTTTAAAGGTTTAGTTTTCCTCTTGATGAAAATAACTTGTCTTTACCAATAAAAGGTGGAGTTATTGGTGTTACTAATGGTTGTGGGGTGTGTTGCTGAATAGGAAAGGAAGGTTAGTTTGACTAAGAGACTAAGCAGTGAGAGGAGCCAATGTTCTGTACAGACACAGCACTGCTTTACTGTTTTACATTCCTAAAGCATCTTTTACTTTTTGTGCAAAGCTGTGCTTTGGCCCGAGGCCCTCCCAGCTGCCCTTTGGACTCTATCATTGGGTTAACCTTTCTGAAAGAAGCTGTTAAATAATTGAATTTTTCAAAAGCAAGAGAAAGCTGATTTTCAGAAGAGGCCCACAGTATTACTCTGAACAGAGCAGTGATACTTCACAGTACTGATTAGAGCAGACAAGGAAGGGTTGGGAAATAACGTGTTTTCATGGCACTGGCTTTATGATTTTGTATTAAAACTACTGGTTTCACTAGGTCTGTTTTGTGATACTCTGGTCTATGAAACTAATTCAGGAGCCCTACATAGCATCCTCAGCACCTGTGACAGGTGAAATTCAAAGGCCATCTGAAGGTATAAGCAGATGAAATCCGGAGGGGTTTCTTTCTACAAATACAGATTGTATACCCTGTTTTTCGGGGATTTTGATTTAGATAGCATTTAGTAGTCCCACTGTTGCTAGCAGGCTCTTCCAAGTAACATGTTTGTGAAGATGCTTGTTAAATTCTGGGCATCTGATTCATAGTTCTTTAAAGGAAATTTGCTAGTTGAGTCTTTGGATGGTCTTGTTAGTTATTTTTGAACCTATTAAAAGTAATGCTAAGGCTCGCTGGCAGAATTTCTTGTTAAAGTATAGTCACTCAAAAAACTGTTCTACAGATTGTTTTTTAGTGACTCTCTTTGGTTCTAATATGTGCAAGATATGATTTCCTGTATTAAGGTTAAAATAGTATTGTTAGTGTTTTAATTGCAGTCTTAAAATGTTTTCTAGATAACAGAATATATGTCTTTTAAATATGCATCCAGAAATTCCATGTGCTAAGGCTGTGTATTGTCTGCTGTGTGTTTGTGGCAGCGGAACTCCCTTTAAAGATTCCAGGATCAGTCACCGTCAGTGGGATGGAATGGAGCGGAATGGGATGGAATGGAGCAGAATGGGATGGGATAGGATGGAATGGAGTGGAATGGAATGGGACACACCGGCAGGGTGCTCCCTGCTGGAGGGAGCTGAGGGCCTGGCCTTGTGGCCTCGGGGGGCAGCGAACGCGCACGTGAAACCCTGGGACAGCACACGTGGATTTGCTGTGCCATCAGGGATTGATGACGGGACAGTTCAGCGCTGCAGAGCTCACAGCATGCACAAGTGGAGCCTGGCTTAAGCTGTGAATTCCACCTCTTGCCACTTCACTCGTGGCCTGTGTTCCCAGTCCCTTCTCCTCTCCCCAAGGCCCGGCTTGTCCGTGTGGGTCTCCTCATAACCGCCGCGTTCTCAAAATAGCGCGTGCCGTGCGTTTGGGCAAAACAAAAATCTAACAACTTTGTAAGCTTTAAAAGAGGGAGGGTAAAGAGAAATACTTGTTTAGCAGCTGTCTCACGTAGAAAGTTTCAGCCAGGCAGGGCTAACTAAACCAAAAACTTGATTGAAAGCTGAACTGGCTAGTAGACAAGACTCTTAAATCTTCCAAGAACTGACTTAACTTTGAATTCTGTTTGATTCTTCCCTTGGATGTACTGCCATGGTTTTCCACTATTCAGTGGAATGAACAGTAGTACATTTTATGTCTCTAATTTTTTAAATAGAAACTTGGATGTTCAATTTTAAATATTAGCAGGAGGAAACAAACTGTCTGGGTTCTGTTAATGATTTCTGTGTTTGGAATGAGTGGTGTGGGCCAACAATGGAAAGATGCCAACACGACCATCATGCTCCCAACTTGGCAAATATCTGTATCGTCTCTAAGCATTTTCTGCCTTCGTAGTTAACACCAAAACTTCTGTAAATAGAAGTTCTGTATTCACTCTACAGCAGGAAAGAGCTAAATAATCAATATGCTACTGAGGTTCACTTGAACATTATTTTTGTCTCGTATCTTTCATAATAGATCTTCAAAGGGAAGTGTGACATTTGAGTTGATTTGTTTCTTCTTGTAAGAGGAAGCAGAAATGTTTCAAAACATCTAATGATTAGCCTTAGTATTTGAGTCATGGTAATATAATGGTTTGTGTAGTTACTCTTTGCAAGCTGTTAAAGACAAATCTGTCCACTTTGGTGAAGTTAGATCATAGTGCTTGAAGCTTGGATAGCTGAAAAGGCAACACACATGCACAACTGGAAAGTAAACAAAGGTTATAAACTTGAGTTAAAAATAATGTACCCCACATTAGTGGAAAGACTTCAAAATAGCTAAAGCAAGAGCAGCTATTTCTCTCCAATTAAGGTGTATTTGTAAGTTGGTTGGTCCTTGTTAATTTTGCTATTTCATTTTTTAATTGTCATGCTAAGCAGGGAATAGGGAAGCAATAATACTACCTTGGGAGAGATGTTGCACTTCGACAAGGTAGAAGCCACTGCAGAAAGCTAATTTTCTGTGGAAAATTCTGTGGATAACTCTTTCTGTACCTACTGTATTTCCTTAATGCATTTACTGTCCAGTTGTCAGCATGACAGTTTTTAAAGTGAGCCCTTTCACAGTTTTAATATTTGAGCCTTTGTGCTTCTGTCATTACCAGACTTGAGCCTTCTCTCATACTTTCTGAGAACTACAAATAAATCTTCCCACTGCCTTTTGTCCTAGATCTTCACACCTTTAATTCTATCTGGCTAAAATACACACAGACAGCTGGAGTTCTGAAGACTACCTGTATCATGTAGCCAGTAGTGATGAGAGAATTAAACTGTAGAAGTTTTATTCTAGATACTAAAGCAACTTCACAAGCAAGTGAAGCAAGTAAAATAAGACACTGTAATGATGAGGTAGCAGTACCTGTGTTACTAATGTGTTTTGTTTCATTCCAACTTCTGAGCTTTCATGAGACTAATGAGATCAATATTCCAGTGAAGACTTATGTTTTAAAATAAGATACAAGTTGTATACACTGTTTATACAGTGAGAAAGCATTTTATCATTACCACTCATAATTCTTCTGCATGTATTATGCATATTGCCTTGTTCATTTATGGTTTTTGAACTATGTAATAAAGAATGTATTTGTTTCCAGGATCACAGCTCTGGTTTGTTCCAATTGCAGTGTTCTGGATAAAAATATCCTCCTGTTACGTGTTGTTATACAATAGATTGCTGCTGCACCGAAGCTGTTACTCAGAAGAAATGTGCTATACAAGGGTGTTAGAAGTAGCCTGCAATAAAGGAAGTGTTGTGGTAGAAGCAAACCAGCGCAGTGGCTAAATTGTGAAAAAAGGCATCTTGTTTGGAAATCGAATTTAATTAAAAAGCACTCTCAATCTCTAGTAATATAACTGCTTTAAATTTTCAGACAGTGGGAGTAGCTCACCGTTGCCCAAGTATGCCTCATCTCCCAAACCAAACAACAGCTACATGTTCAAACGAGAGCCCCCAGAGGGATGTGAGCGAGTGAAGGTCTTTGAGGAAATGTCGTAAGTAATGCCTTTTATATCAGCTGGTATCTGCAAAGCAGTAAACCTGTTTACTGAGCCTATCCAACTGCAGATGAATAAACTATTCCAGCTGATGGGTTTTTCAGGAGCAAACTATTCTTATAGTTTGTGCAAGAGAGAAGTTCAAGTGTTTACATTGGTGTGAAGAGAAAATGGAGTCTTTTACCTCTTTTTGTGCATTTACAAAAGGCAACAAAAATCCAAGCAGGAAAGATAAGGTACATTAATTTCCTAAGCATTTATATAAACCTCTTTCCATGTATTTTTTTAACATTTTAAATTTTCGTGGCTTAAGCAAAAACTAGCCTTTTCATAATTATTTGTTTCAAGTATAGGTTGCATAAAACATAGAAAATGGAATGAAACATATGAAAAGTGTTTGTAGATGGTAGTATGCTTACAGCATAGACTTTGCTCAATATTTTTGCTGAGCAAGAAATTGGAAATTAAACTCTTGGACAGCATGTCTTTTTTCCCTAGACCCAGCAGTATTTGAGCACAGCACATGCTGTTGAGGTTGCATGCTAAGCTCCTGTGGATGAAAGAATTAAGGAGGGGATGTTTCTTGCTCTAGCAGCATTTGTTGCCTTCTGGGTGGTAAAGGGAGCAATGTTGGATTGTGGAAAAAGCCTCCAGACAAATTATGGAATATGGGAAATTAGAGGTCTGTTTTGTGGAGGTCCTCAAAGGAATTTAAAATGACTAAATGTGTTGTTGCTGCATCGCTTATCAAAGAAGAATATGTGCCATTCTAAATTAATTGTGGCATTTTTTCATGTGCATATGTACTGCAGATTTTTCGTGCTGGAAGTTGCATGTTTGTCCAGTAATTACCAAGTCATTTTTTGTGATGGTACTATTTTTAATGCTGTGGATCAGTTAGCTGACTACCAATATGGAAGATGTTTGCCCCTTTGTCCAATTAATCCCATTCCTTGTCATTCACATTTTAGCAATGTATAGAATCACAAAGTTCATGATGTGGAGAACATCTCTGAGCTGGCCAGATATATAATCTTTTTTCTCGTTGTAGGTCTCGTCAGCCTGTCTCAGCCCCTCTCTTTTCATGTCCTGACAAAAACAAGGTTAATTTCATCCCAACCGGATCAGCTTTCTGTCCTGTAAAGCTTCTGGGCCCCCTCCTTCCCGCTTCAGACCTGACGCTGAAGAACTCTCCAAACTCTGGTCAAAGCACAGGTTTGAGCACCCTGACTGTTGAGCAGCTTTCGTCTCGGGTCTCTTTCTCATCTCTGTCAGATGACACCAGCACAATGGACTCCCCAGAGACCCCGGTTCAGCAGCCGTCCCAGCAGCAGCTTCTGCAGGAGATTCAGACTGAAGAGCATTCCTCTCCTCAGAGCTACGTGTTAATCTAGAGCAAGGTGGAGCAGGCCTCTGCCCCAGACAAGGAGTGAGGAGACTCTAGTCCAGATACATCTGCATGAGGTGGCAACCTTTCAGAACACCATGGAATACTTAGCAGCGTTCAAAAAAATATCTCAACACTGTTCTTGGCAGGGACAGAATCCGTATTCGGCATTTTTTGTGAGACAGCAGTAATGCCTGCAGAATCCATATTACATTAAACGTCTTAAGTGGAGACTATGCATTTCATAGTACGTTTGACCAGATTAGTACTGTGTTCTGTGTTCTGTTTCAAATTCTACAGTATAAATAAGCTCTCTCTATATATAAAAAAAATGTTGCCTGTCTGAATAGAAAATGTCTTGCTGTGTTGTGTCCTATGGAAAATACTGTACTTCAGGATTATGTTTACAATTGATCCAGGTGTTTATGTTTCTAACTTCTGTAATACACACAATGCAAAAAAAAAAAAAAATGGCCACAGCAGTTGCACAGTGCCCACCCTATGGCCTAGCTTCAGGTACTTCTCTTGAAGTGTAAACTCAGGTAACTTGGAATGTATATCATATTGGAATATAAAATATTTTACAGCTACAAAGCTAAAGAGGGAACATCACTCTTTTGCCTTTCCTTGTTTTATGCATTATATTTCCTCATTACATTCCACTTTCTTGGAATAAGTGCATTCAGATCCAGGTGAATGATGACCCTGGACATGGGTGAACATGAGGAGAACCAGCAAATCTGTGATGTATATCACTTTGTCATGTGCTTACAAGTAAAACAACTGTTGCATTTACTGTCATTTCAATAGATGTAAAATTGTGGCATTTAAAGGTTTCAGGTGTTGCTCAGTTAATGACTGTTAAACTGTTGCAAATAAAGTGTTCAGTACTAGGCTGTACATGAGAAACATTCCACATTGTGTGTGAGAGGATTTTGAAAGACAAGAATGTTTTTGTTAAAGGACAGAAATTCTTTTAGGTTTCACGGGGTGGGGGGGGGTGATTGGGGATTTCCTCTCATGGTTTTTGTTGGCAGTTAAGGATGTGAAATGCTACTGTTACCGTCTAAAAATCAAATTAATGTTTAGTTTCTCTTTTGGAAATGTTCATTCATTTGCTGGTTGGAAATAGGTTTTCACATTTTGTTGAGCAGTGTTAGATGAGCAGCATTTTATTTATGTAGTTAATTGTGTTTGGATGAAAGTCCAGAAGTAGCAAGTGGGTGTTCTAAGAGGGGTGGGGGAAAACAATAGTTTTAAGTTCATGTTACTTAAAGCTTCTCCCATAATTTTCAGTTACTTAAGCTGTGTGTGTAAAAGTGTGTTTTCCCCCCTCCTTAAGTGTAAATAAAAGAAAAAAATCCATGTAAAATAATCCTGGTTTTGCAGGCTGGACACTGTCTCAAAATAGTACATGGCAAGATTGGGTTTGTGGCACTCTTCTATTGTACTGGAAAAAGAGGAGCATTGCTTTCAGAGATAATTTCCTGTGATACAAAGAGGACCCCAAAGGCAAAATAAACTTGATGTTCTTGCTCCATTGCTTTCAGCTCAGTGAAACTGCGTGGATGCTTCTGCTCCTAAGAGAATAAGGTTCACCATTTCCAGGAATTGAAGAGATTAGTAGCCTGCAGCTACTAGGAGCATTTAAACATGCTCTTTTATGTTTTTTTTCTGCTTTTGAAGATGAGATTGGAGGGGGATGAGAGTGAGCCACCAGTAACTACTCACTAGATATGTGCTTTTTTTGGAGATAAAGCATTGCTTCCTTTTTATTACTGAGTTTTTGTTAACGCTGTCTTACAAGGTGGAATTCACAGCCTATAAAACATTCACTGTTTTTTGACTCCCCTTGCAGAAAATGTAGAAGGAGAGAGGTCTGTCTCTAACCATTTTCATGTGAAAAAGCTTATTGAAACACAGCAGCCATCTTTAACCCTACTAATCTCAGGCCTAGGTGAAAACACTATATATTTTATAGACTGAAGATTAAGGGGAGAAAATACTGATGATGTAAGTATCGATTCCTTTTAATATTTTTCTTTCTAGACTAACATTGCAGTATGATGACCTTTTTATGCTCTGGCTATGTCCAGATAAGAAATTGTAGTCTCAGTTATTGGTGTTAGGTTACCAGGGGATATGATGAGTGGTTTTTAGATCAGTGCTGAACTCTGTACAATATTTGCAATGCCATTACATGTTCTTTATATTTTTTCCATGAGAAACTAAATATTAATTAAAATGCACATTTGTTCTTAGCAGAATTGGAGGTTTTGAACCAAATGTGTTAAAGCTAATGCTTTGCCATGTAAATTTCCCAGCAGTTGTTTATCTCAATTGTATTCTACATCCAGCTGTAGAAATTTGTCAAATATTGTTTAAAGTTTTGTACATAGTTGTACTGTTATTTCTAGCCACTGTGCTGAACAGTATTCAAGTTATCACACAATATTGCTTTACACAAGGAAATGTGTGGCTTTTGTTTTGTATTTTTTTTCGGTATAGAAGTTCCTGTGTCTTATTTAAATAAAAATTATAGTTTAAAAAAAAAGTGGTGGGGACAACACACAAAAGCAGTGGTTCATTTATTTGTTTTGGAAACTGTGAGTGAAACACCATAGAAGGAGATTAAATTTTAATATTGTTCCAAATTTACATCTAGAATAATGCCAACAGTGTATGACTGTGTGTGCTATATCTTCTAGAACAAGATAATCTTTATCTATTGATTTTTGCATAATGCTGTACTGAGGAGCAGGGAAAACCCCTTAAAATAGCTGAATGTTTAAATATGCTTTAAATAGCATACTCTATTTCAACATAGCACAGGAAAAAAATCAGTTAAGAGTTATTTGAAACTGTGTATCTGCTGCTGTGTTTGTGGTATGGCTAATTTCAAGCTATCTGTTGAAAATTATGAAAGCCATTAGATGCTTCACTATGTGAAACTAAACTAAACTCCTAAAGGATGTGGTATAAATCTACTGACAGTCTTGGTTTCATGTTGTTTTGTATGACTCAAATGATTGTCATTTGACTTGCAGAATAATTCTTTCCAGATGGGGGTGGGGGAGAAGGAGGAAGAAAGAAGGATAATATTTAAATACATGTAAATCCTTCAAAGTAAGTGTTTACTGAAGAGTACTATGGCAATAACCATCAAGGATGGATTAATGCTTATTGTCGTCAGTCAGTGGAAATTTTAAGTTTTCAGCATCCTAAGGATTACAAGGTTTCTATGTGACTGTGTTAAAAACATTAACTGGAACTTGACTAAAAGTCCAGGGCCAGAAATTGGATTTCAGTAACCCTTGTGGGTCCTTCCAACATAGGATATTCTGTGGTTCTGTGATCCCACCCACCTACAAGAGTGCTTGGTGACTTTGTTTCAGCTGTTTCATCATCACCTTGAAGGGGTTCCTAGGAGTAGCTTTGTGACTGTCCTGTCCCCGAAATGGTCTTGGCTGCAGCAGTTTCAGGCTGTCTTTGAGTGGGAGGTGTTTTCTCAGGAAACATTTTGAAAAAAGCCTGTAGCTTGCCCTGCAGAGTTGTGATGCAGTTTGTGTCACAGGGAGCTTTTAAGCATCCCCATGAACCTAGGCCTTGCCTGGTTAGTCGCATTTTGGGTTTTTTTCCCATGCAAACCACACTTTGTGTGCTGTGTGCAGCTCACTGCCTCTGTCTTCCCCAAAGCCAAAACAAGGAGTCTGAAAAGCACTGAGAATAGAGAACTAATGAAATAATTTTGCCTTTAGTCCTGTTTTGTGAATAAAAGATCTTAGCTTGAATGTATATTTTTCTAGTAATTTGTGGCTCTGGAAGTGGATGCTTCAGAGACTGGAGGTCTGTGTAAGGAGAGCCATTAGCTCTGTATGCTGGGGTAGGGGACAACAGGTAGTGAGTGACCTGCTGCTTTTAGGAAACAGGATGCTGTCTGGGAAGTGATTTCTGGCTTCCTGACAAATTAGCTCTTGGGAAGGGCCAGATACTGGCACAAGGATAGAGTCTCAGAATCTTGACAGTATGCAAGTGTAAGGTGTAACAAGAACAAGAGAAATTGTGATGTCAGCCAACATTTCTAATTTATTCAGTTGTAGGCAAACACTATTGAGGCTTAGCAAAACCAGCTCCTCCTACCCTGGCCTTCCTCCAGGGTAGTGGATTGGGACCTTCAGACATTACTTGAGGTACAAGCCAAGCAGTTTGGAGATAACTAGTAAGAAGTTTACATCAATTACTGTTGTAAACCAGCCTGCCTTGCTGTGCAAAATACAGCCATGAAAACACAGATTTGAGGCAACTCAGCTGGGAGGAAATAGCCAGAGTTCCTACTGTGTATGTCCAGACTCTAAATGCAAGGAAAAAGTGAATTAAAGCTGGGAAGGTACATGCATTACACATACAGTGTTCCATACTTGGTACTTGGCTGAAAGAAGTTGTTTGATGAAAGATTGACATGCAGTTAAAATATGTGTATCTTGTTTCTGTTTGCATTAGTGTAAACAGTCCTGGAAAACTCTAGTTTGGGAGAGACTGTAAAAGGCTCAGGGAAGAGCTGTAGGAATAAAGTACTGGAAAAACCAGAAGATGGCTGTGTAGGAGCTCAACATGATTAACTTGATGGTTGAAGAGTGACTTAATTTCAGTTAGTAAATACCTACACATAGGAAATACTAATGAGTTTAGCAGATGTGGAATATTAAGCAGTAACAAAATGAAGGTAGATGAATTCATACTAAAAATGTGTATTTGTTTTACCACTAAGTATAATTAATTACTGGGCCAATGTGCAAGGAAAGATTTTTTTTCAAGTATTGATATGTTTAAAATTAGATGATTTTACAAAGGATGTGCTCAAATATGGTTTTTATAAGACTTACTAACTTGTGATTATTTGGGGCATTTTACATTTCAGTTGATGGTTAAGAGGTGGAATTCTTGAGCTACATAAGAATTCTTGCCTAACAAAAGAAGGACTTGCTGCAGTATTTTCATCTAGGGTGTTAACACATCTTTTAAACTGTCTGGAATAGGGTTTTGAGGGTAACTTTTGGCTTCTGGGAGTTTTTGGTTTGTCAACCATGAATGAGGTCTCCAGTAAAGTAGAGGTAGTTGAGTACTTTATTAGTTCTTTTGATTTTGGCACCTCCTCTATAGCGCTGTAATTATGAAGAGTTGGTAATAAACTGGAGAGTAGGAGTTGACTTTCTGGAGTGCAACAGGTCCCAGAAATAATGTGTTACTTGAGTGGGGCTGAGAGGAGGTAGGGAGTTTCCTCAGTACAGGCCATAGAAGTGAGTGAACATGTAAGTAAAACTGCAAATTCAGTTGATGACAAGAAAGAAGAGCAATTAGATGAAGCTGAATAGAGAGGTGACCCCATTTTTAAGAGTAGTTGAAATTTTATCTGTGGTTCTGAAGTTCTGGTGGGAAATTTTTAGGCTCCCTTGGTCTGTAGCCTGGAAAGCTCAGAGGTAGAGGAGCTGTAAGCCTGGGAGAAGAGAAGGTTGTGTAGTCTCTTCCCACCATTGAGTTAGAGTGAGCTTCATAACAAAGCACAATTAGGCTAATAACTGCCTGTAGAAAAGTAAGGGTGTGTGTGCGTGAGATTTATTTTTGTGTATGTGCACAGTGACGTGTGTGTGGTTAAACTTTTCAGTGCTTTGTGCAGCTGTTGGTTGAAAATAAGGTTTGCTTAGGGCAATAGTAATACCCATGGTAATCTATTTCTTGTACCTTTGTTTTTAATTTTTACTTATCCAAATAAGTAGTAAGTAAGTATCATCATCTAAATCCCAGACTGCCAGGTGTTAACTAAAATGTTAACTAAAACTGGATGCCCACCTGCTTTCTACAGGTGAGATCTGAGTGCTCTTGAGATTTTTATGGACAGAGGTTCTTTCTCCAA